AACTATGTATAAAATCCTAGTATGGGCCAACATTTATTTTAAATCCCAATATTTACAAACTGCAACTATGTAATACCACAAATATGGGGGAAATCATCTAATGACTTCTCTGGCTTTGGGTGAAGCGAGAGGAGTCAGACTTTTCCTGAGCAAAAACCACCCTATTCTTACTCTGCTTAGAGCCGGAGCCCACATTAGGTTGTCCGCAGCTCCGGACATATGGCAAATCCTGGCCCACAGTCCAGCAGTGAACAGTCACGGACAGACGGATGATGATGATCACAAAAATATTTCCTTAATTGAAGTTAAATACAAACTTCATATACTGAAGTAAAATTAAATTAACATTCTCCATGTTCAAACAATTTTAATCGATACTGTGAAGGACTCAACAAAAGTGTTAATGAAAACAATGCATAATAAAGTTGAGGCCACGACGAACATTGTTTTGCACTCAACATTATTTAGTCTTGAATAATAATATTATACTGTGTTGTGGTTTAAAATTTATTTAGTTCATAATATGATATGTATAGAGTAACCATGTAGTGATGGTAGAATAGAATACATCAAGTAAGAGATTACCCAATTGACAGAACAGGGCTGAACGTCCGTTAAATTTAAATATTTTAAACTGCAAACTCAAGTCTCCTACCAAGCAATAAGCATGGAGATTATGTCAAACTGTTATAGGTAGAAATTTTTTAATTGGAATGATGATGATTTATATTTATAAACCATTTACAAGAAAAGGTAGGTAGTTGATTTGTAAACCTTTAATTAAAATCGAACTTTAAAACTAATTTACACATCTAAATAGAATCTGTTAGTTAGTCATTACGTCAGGTACAAGTAAAGGGATTTACCTACTCATATTACCATGAAACTTGATTTTTTCTTTCCCAACAAGGTCACCTAAGCTATCAGATTATTTTATTTAACACTCTAAAATTAGAGAATGGACAGTAATATGATATTACATCTCAGTACTACAATAAAACAAGGACAGTCTGTATGTTTGTCTCTAAACACAAAAAAAAAATAGAAAAGAGATTTATTCGGGCAGATTTATTAGACCTTTAAACTATCCCGGTCTGGAAAAATTGCCAGAATCAGCTTAAGGTCTTATGGCGAAAGAATATTATAATTTCTATGATAACATGCAACCCCACCCACAATGTGCCAGAACTCTCAAAAATATTGTATTCAGTCTTTATTTATTTACTTATACTATATTGCACAGAAAAAAAATTATAAACATTGCAATAGTAATTTGAGTACAATAGGTGGTCTTATCACTCGCGGCGATTTCTTCCAGACAACCTTTGGATGGAATTTTTGAAAAGAATCTGGGAATGGGTGGTAGTTGCACAATAAAAGAAAACCAAAATAGAAGAAAAAAAAAAAAAAAAACAAATTAAAATTTAAACAAATTAAAGTCTTTATTAACTCGTCGAGTACCGGTTTTATAGACACAATTAAAGAACAATAGGTCGCGGTCACCGGTGACCGCTTGGTGTTTGACAGATTAAAATTAAGCTATTGTAATAGCATTGTGCTAATGGACAATTCCATTTTAGTAGCCAATTTAAACCATACGTTGGTTTAAATTAAGCTAAATATTTTAAAAGCATTTTAAAATACTTAGTTTATTAAAGTTCAAAGACCACATAAAGTTATCGCAGGTCACAATTCAAAACAATTGTTTTGAACCTCAAAAACTGGAATTCACACTCATTGTCTTAAAAATAAAAGAGGATTTATATCTTGTTTCCTCTTTAGTCATCATTTATATATTTTTTAAAATAAATGTTAATCAGACAAATTATTTGTAGTCTTTCTTGAACTCAGACAGTTAAAAATAAAAAAATGTTAATAAAAGGAATGATTTCAATGTTTGTTTGCATTTAATAGACTCAGAAACTATTGGACTCAGCTTAGATTTAGACGCAAGAATAAACAGAACAAACATTTATAATGGATATTTTGAATTTGCAGATACATGCCAGTAAAAAAAATAAAAAAGAAATTATTAAGTCATACGTACTTAATAGAAAGAAAGTCTATCACAACAGTTATCTAAACCAGAAAACGGATAGAAACCATAGATATTTATTATCATTTATCTTCTTTTAATATTAACTTTCATAGTTAGATACAACAAGATAAAGATTTTAATAAAATGGTTCTTATCAATGATGAAACAACAATAAATATTTAACAATACCTAAACATGCTGAGTAAATATTATTTGTCTTATATTACTAACTACCTTCTGCCCGAGACATTGTATGATCAATACCTCTTTTCTCATTCCCGTTCATGATTTTCGGTAAAAAGTAAAAAAAAAAAGAATATTAAACTCAGAAGCCTACAAAGCCTACACCTGACAACAAATAATGATTAGTCCCTGGACACATGTAATGTAAACTTATCACCAGACACAAAACATAATTTCCAACTCAATATTCATATTGAGAATGTATTATAATCAGTAATGTACAAGATACCCAATACAAAGTATCTGAAATACAAAATTTATACAAGATACTTTAAATTAAGTATTTCAGATACCAGATACAAAATACTATTGACATTGACAGAGACAAGATAGGTATCTTTAAAATACTTTTCAAGGATAAAATACTTTTAGGAAAATAATATTTGAATGAATTCAAACTTTTTTTTATGTATTCTAAAGCACAATAATTAATAGGACCATACTAAAAATCTGAGATAAGTTTCATTTGCGCCACGCCTGGGTTATTTATCGTGCTTCAAAAGTTGTGAGTGTTATACCCTCTATACCTACATATCATCAAAATCAATAGCTAAATGTAAAAATTGGTGTGTTAGTGGCTCATTTTCTTTCATTTGCGCCGAGCCTGGGTTTATAGAATATTGTCCTTTATAAATGTCAGCTTCGAGTCTGATCTATTTATTTTTATTGATCTGAAAAAGTATTCGTAAAATTTATATACTATATATACATATAAATTTATACATACATAATGAATGTATGTAATTACAAGATATAAAATGTAATTTTGAAAAAGTATTTCAATTACAAGATCGAAATATGTATTTTGTATCTTGTATCTGTATTTCAGATACTTATTATCTTAAATAAGTCACATCTCTGATTATAATAACCAGTTAGTTAATGCAAAGTTATAGCATTGAAATTCATAAATATATTATGAAAGCATTATATCTATGAATAAATTCAGATAAGATAAAATTATATAAGTTAAATAGTAAAATAAGAAAGTAATAAGGTAAACTGCATTTATGAATTATTTTAATGAATGTGAGAGTTTTAATCGCATGAACATGAAGTTATTTCCAAGTTAGGTATTTGATAATTAGACATTGATAGTACAATTAATAGTTTTTTTGAAATTTATTCCATATTGTGACTATGAATGACTTTCTTGCAGGCTTAATATGAAATTCTAATAATATTATAAGAATTTTAATTAGATTACTTAATTATTAGAATATTATTGACTTATTTAAAGTCTTATTTTCAGGCTACTCTAATAATAATGGGTCATTCAAGAATTTATGGCATAAAAAAAATTTGGTAAAACATAACTTTTAGGATGAAAACATCTACTTAATTATTTTTAATTTACCAAATTCGGATGTCCATTGCAGTTAGCAGTGCCATTTTCCATGTCCAGCAGTAGAGTTATAAAGTAATGAATGTCAAACTTATCGAAAGTTCACTAAAGATCGTTTGAAAACTAAGTGAAAGTCACCTATAAAATAATGAAGAAGAATCATGCCTAGGTATGATTAGATGCCTGATTAAACCCATTTATAAAACCCTCAGGTCACGGGCAAACATTTGAGTTGCCGCCAAAAGAATATTCTAAACGTTTCGAAATATTTTTGGCTCTATCACAAAACATACGTTAAAATCAATCTTCAAATATACTTACGCGAAATCTTGATATAATCAGACCCATTTTCTTGACTTTGTCACTTCAAATATCAAGTCAGTTTATTAAATAACACTTTTAACTATTAACACAGCCTCGTTTTAGCCTTTTTAGAAGCTAAAAATAAGTTTGGCATAACCAGGTGATAGGTTGATGACGAATGTTTTATAACCTATAACGCCGATACGTGAACATTACAAAAATATAAAAGCTAATTGGCCGGCAGTTTGTTTAAAAGTCAAATCACATATCCACTGGTTATTTTCGATTCAATATCATTTGCAAAATTCACCGCAAGAACTGCTGAACAAATAAAATTCAAGAAAAAAAACATTTACTTTCAACAATCATCCACAGATACATTAAATCGCATTATGACGTTTGATGTTTTTTCCATTTTTCTGACATTTAGCAAGTTATTTTGCTTTGGAAGCGGAACTATTCTATTCAAATTAAATATTATTAGAAATTATTTATTTGATTTCTACGCCATATACAAGTTATTATTAATAAGTAAGTAGTATTTATTTATAACCTGCCTGAATGAGGCTTATGAATAACTGAAATTAAAGATAAAATCCGATTAGATAGGTAGGTAAAATGTAACAAACTTGTTATAATTGGATTCATCAGAATCGTTTACTATCGCTGAAACTTTAAAGTAAATAAAGTATTTTTTAAAATTAGATTACATAAATATTACATTGAATATTATCTTTTTAGGATTTTTCTTTTTTCGTTTAGAAACGTTTTTTTGGTAGGTTGGTAGCATTGGATCACTTTTGTTTCGTGTAGCAGAGCGAGATTAGTGATACCAGCTCGATTTTAGAGTACCTAGCCATAAAAATTAACAAGAAACTTAAAATTAAGTATTTTGTTCCTTTCAATAAGTTTAATAACTCAACTTTAAAAATGACACAATAAAAATATTTTTTATCTCGCTAGATAACTTTGATATAATTATCTACCTTCCTAAAGCGCCCTGTAAACGATCAAATTATTTTATTTTCAGCCATGATCATCCCACTGCAGGGCAAAGGCCTCTCTACCCACCTTCCACTCCTCTCTATTTATAGTTTTTTGCGGCCAATCCTTGTCATAGATGTCTAATTCGTCCCGCCGTCTCCTTTTGGGCCTACCGCGAAAACAATCAAATTGTTTGTCAAATTTTACATGATTGTCAAACAATTTGATAGTGTACAACTTTGTTTGATTCGTTTGCCAAAGAAGTGAAAAAAACTTTGTTTGAAGCGTTCGTCAAACATTCTACGTGTTTGAACTCTACGTGTTTGAACTGTTTGAAGAGAATTTTGATTGACGTAGCATTTGACAAAAGTGTTTGAACGTGTTCCGCTGTGTTTGTCAAACAAGATCTCATTCGTTGATCTGACATCTGACACCATATCCATGGAGGACGTCAAGAGGACGTAGCGGCTATTTCGAGTTCGGATGGCAGCATCGTGAATCTCGGCAGCATGGACAAAATTTCAGATAAAGAATATACACTACATTTTATATATCAATTTTCGAGCAAAAATTCGTGGGTATATTTATCTCTTAATTTTACCCGTTCTTTAGTCCATCTTCTTGTTTTCCTTTTCATAATACATAGTGATAGAGTCAACACCAAAAAATGCGTTGTTTATGTTGCTCATGGACGTAGCACAACGACGTCAAGTCATGACGAGGAAAAAACACTGATTCTGACAAATTGTTTGTCAAACTTGTATGATGTACGTTTGTTCGTCTGCGCCGTAGTTTGATGAAATCGTGAATTTCATCAAACAAGTTTGTCAAACGAATTTGATCGTCTACAGAGCGCTTTAGTAACAATTCAAAAAGGCGCATCAAGTTTTGGTTGGTTTGTTTTCTTTTACCATACTATGCAGTAGTAATATCATAATGCTTAGGTATATATTACTTTGAAACTGACTCACAAGAAGTAAAAACTGATATACATAAGTACAGAAAATATTTGGCAATAATGCTTTTTCCATACGCATAGCTATTTATTATTCCTACCATAAAATATTTTAAGAGCCTAAATTACAATGCCTGATTAACTTCCAGTGTTTATTATATTCTAATTTTCAATATGGTAGTTTCCTAAATTTTATTTTAATGTCCGTCTGGTACATTAATTAAAAAGTTTAGACACGTATTTTTTCTTTTCTCACAAAATTAAATACTTTCGACGATATATTAATTTGAAATATCGTGTGACGTCACAGCGTGTCACATTTTGTAGCACGTTATGACGTAACGACCTCCCACTCCTAAATTTGGCGCTATTTTATCTACGTATTGCAACTTAATACGAGAAAAAAAAATACGTGTCTAATATTTTTTAATTATCTAACTGACGGACTAATTAGATTTTTAATTTTGATACCATGGAAACTACCCAATTATCTGCCTATCTCGTTGGACGAGTGGTCGCAAGTGCGACTGTTGGGTAAGGGCTCTCGGGTTCGATTCACGGGTCGGGCTAAGAATTACTGGGTTTTTTTAAAAGTACTCATGTGTAGCACGGAGTCATGAATTGTGTCCGATATGTCAAAAAGCTCACTCCCTATTACCCATGTAATACACATAACATAAACAATGAAAATTTGTGTTCCATTGTACACTGGCATTTAGTGCCGCGATAAGCAATTTTGCCTACCCCTTCGCGGATAAAAGACGTGTTGTTATGATCTATTTTCAGTACAAAATACATGTATTGTCACTAATTAAAACAGCAAGTTACTCTGTAAAACAAGTGCATAATCTTATAAAAATACATATTTATTTACTTAATATATTTTAACAAGTCTTCCAATCAGGTGTGTGGCAAGATAACTTCGTAACATCGGCCATTTCTTTCTCAGTTTGTTTTCCATCAGAGTCGACACAGCGGCACATGCCTCTGCGACACTGTATCCTCCTAAAATTACCGTTCTTACAACAAATCGGCTTCTCAGGTAAATCTCCCATAATATTTGTAGTCTGTGCACATTCTGTAAAAAAAAAATCGGTTAGCAAACTATTAATGTCTATGGCCAAATGTGCCATGCCGCCATTTATAATAAGCCTTGACTTTTTAGCCGATACTGGTTAAAATTCAGTACCGACAACTTCTTCATCATCATAGTCAACCACCTTTTTTTTTAAGGGGGGAAAATCATCGAATGACACCTCCCGCCTGGGTGAGGCGGGAGGGAGTGTCAGACTCTTACTGACTAAAAACCACCCCGTTAGGTCTTAACAATCCAGTAGTCCACTGGAGTATGGGCCTCGTCTATAAAAGAGGGGTTAACCATAACTTCCACGGTTGGCAGGCGGATTGGCGGATCGCAGTGTAAAAAGGTTTATCAGAGAATACCGCTACCCGACCAGCCCGACTTCTGTTAAATATAATGTAGTCCCTTAGTCGACTTTTGCGATACGACACCCACGGAAAGAAAGGGGTGGTGACAAATGTAACCATTACCTCCATGGTTGGCAGGCGGATTGGTGGATCGCAGTGCAAAGAGGTTCCTTTATTAGAGAATACCGCTGCCCGATCTCTGTTATATAATGTAGTAGTTACATTAGTCGAATTTTGTCACCAGCGGGAACAGTGGGGGTGGTAATATACGTATTCTACTCTGCCGTCAGCTACATGACTGCATGTATTTAAATCAATGTGTGGTACAAATAATAATCTTCCTAGTTAAAATTACAAATGTGAATGTTTGTCTGTTCGTCTGGTCGTCTGTTTGTCTGTTTGTCTGTTTGTTTGTTTAGTACTCTTTCACGTCAAAACATCTGAAGACATCGGGATAAAATTTGAAACAGGGGTAGGTTAGGAAAAGCTATGTTTTATCCACAGGACCGGGAGCAAAGCCGCTGGGCGAAGCAAGTATATACCTCTAATAAAACTTACTGCAGTCCATATTATTAAAGGAGGTGGGATCAGTTTTCCTGTCAGCATGGTAGTTCCCAATTTGTCTTCCGCGTTCGTCTATGCAGACTTTCCTGTAAATTACAAAATGTCATCATTACATCCCGCCTTTTATTCTTCAAAGGGTTACAGGCACACATTGGTTCTATACTAATATTACCTAATAGGTCTTTACCTGTGCCTTAATTAAACTCTGAAATTGCAGTTTTGTATGAAAAAAATAAACAATTTTTTTTGAGTGGTGGTGATGATGTTGATGATCATGCAATTAAACATTATAAACTTACTGTCCAGCACTATTCACTGCGATTCTTCCATAAGTCCAGTCTGGAAGACATTCAGGGAAGCCTCCGAAATAGTCAAGGTCGAATTCATCTTCTTCTGCATCGAGGATTTCCGCCGCTATCCGCTCTTGATTTAACAGACATGGTGATTGGAAGGTCGACGGGTGTTCCTGGTCGAACTCAGCAAACAAGTCTAAGTCCTTGTCATCTGAAAAACAGACCATTCTTACATTAATATTCAGAGAGAACCAGAGTCTGTATTTCCTGATTTGTATAACCTTGGTGTCTTCAAGGTCAGAGTGAAGAAGTTGCTTATGGGGAGACATGCTCCATAGTAGGCCACATCATGCCACCAGACGAGATAGTGGGCAAGCATCGGCCCATCTTATATAGCTAAATATACTTATATCATACTAGAATACCTATCATTCATAAAATGTCATCATCGTCTTTATCAATACTTGTGAACCAAGGGCTCCTCTAAGAGGTTTGTTACAGTCTACACGCTTGCAAGCGAGTTGAAGATCGCAGTTCAAAATGTTTAGACTTATAAGAGAGCGCTACTACCCGGACACTGTTAAATGTGTAGCACCATAATGGTATCTTACGAAATGTAACTCGCTAGACGATTGTTATCGGTGTTGAAAAAATGTACCATACCTAATTTATTTTACGAAAACCTCATCGGCTTATAATAATAGAATAATCTTTCCCGGCCAGGATTCAGTGGTTACAACCATGAAAACATCGGACCACTGAAGGCCGGCGCGTCCCAGGGACATGAATAACTGTCTTGGATCCCTCATCGAAATAAACCAGAAGATATTAGTTATTAGTGGAGGAGAAAAAAACACAATTCTCCCACCTGATAATGGCGATTACTTACAGCAAGGCAGTTGAGTAATGCTCTGTCTCTCCAGGTCGATAGTAGGGCTGTCTTTTTCGATGATTCCAGTGACTTTATCAACGCAATAGCAAATATTATTGATGCACCGAATTGGGAAGAAGTTGCCATCTGTAGTGCAGCGTGGACCCACAACCGGGGCTGGTACACTTTTGCCGATTATTGACCTCATAAGATCGTGGAATCGGGAGCATCCTGTGAAAATGATGTGGTGTTAGCTCATCAATTAGGCTATTGACAAGTTTGGAGAATTCATTATGCTACTTTTATTGTAATGCATATTTTATGCAATCGTTTACATTTCCTCTACTTATTCGTTAAGGAGGTTGCTTCAAGATAGCCAGGGAAATTTAAAATTTCTTAATTATTTGAAATTTACATCTCGATATTGAATAGAGTACGAATTTACACAACTTTATAAATACTTGTTAAAATCATCAACATAACTTAGTAACTAATTAGACAAGGTGTCATTTCAGTAAGATCTTGACAGTGTACGCCTAAATAAGCAGGCAGTTTCTGGACAGACCGACGCTGAAACCGGACTGGATCAAAGACCTTTTAAAAAAAAGCGAACACAATGTCACTTAGAAACTGTTGAAGCACCAAAATGTCAGTGACATAAATAACCATTTATGTGTTCGAGTGTAATGGGTTACCACGTTACCAGACATAAGAAAATGACAGATGTCCTTCGTGTTGATGTGTATGTTCTGCGTGTAAGTCTATAGTAGCCAGGCGCCACAGTCGTTGTTCCACGAGACTGTGTCCGTCTTCTTTTCAAAGTCCTTGTTTTCTACATCATTTATGAATTATTTTGTTTCTCAAACATAATTATGTATAATAGGATCTACTGACCGCAGTGCATACTCTTCTCAGTAATTACTCCAAGATTCAGCACTTCACCAAACAGTCTTCTACCATCATCTGACTGACAGAAGCAACTGCAATAGAAATCAAAAGGAATTAAAATCAAAATCTTAATGAATAAAGGGTTCGCAGGATCCATCACTATAGTATAGATTATTAATTATAGCCTATGTTTATCATCGATAATGTACCTAGGATTCCAACGGAAAAATATTTTTTTAAATCCGCCCGGTAGTTTCGGAGGAGATTGCATTCAAACAAACAAACAAAAAATCTAATCTTTCCTCTTTATACTATTGATGTAGATAGTGTAGATAGATGTAGATAAGTCCATAGTCCAATCCCCCCTAATCCTCAAATTCAATACCCAATTCCAATCTAATTTTTGGGGGTGGTGGGAATTATGCAATAACTTGTCTCGCATTGGGTGAGGCGAGAGGAAGTGTCAGACTCTTGTCCAACTAAAAAACCACCCCGTTTCTACTCCTACTAAGTCGTCTGCAGCTCAACCTTCATTTTCCAATCCAGAACCCCTGTCTTCAATCATCAATCCTCAAATACTTTGTTTCTTTATCCATAAATCTATATGCTTACTCACGTTTGTGCTGGAACACACTCGAACTTGTAAAACTTGCCCTTCCCGTCACAGCGCGGCCGCGCTTCCATAGCTCCTAGCTCCCCATTGCGCTCTCGCTCATCATATTTATCTTGTGCAGTATGGCAATCTGATTTCACTGGAAAGTATAACAAAGAAATGAATGAGCTGTTTGTAGTTAATCTATTTAAAACGTAAATGACCAGTAGACCAGCCCATGACAGTGCTAAAATAAGTGCTTCCTCTATATAAGAAAGTTTGCCAAAATCTCCAAGCTTGACAGGTTGGAGACCGAGACCGCAGGTTTATTAGAAGAAGCTCCTGGCCTGGTCTTTGTTAAATGTGCAGACCTTCAGGTTAATCGGGTCTTCTAGTGACGAATATATCCTACTTTACTGACACCACACAGGCTTACAACTGACAGTCAGTTTTTGGTTAATGTGACATGTATGTATTAACATCACTACTATCGTAAGATATGGCCCCCTCACTACATTCAACAGAATGTCTATCTATCATACTCTGGTGTGTGTACAGGTCGTGCGCTGTCTCTGTGTATCTGTACCAAGCCTTATCATGATCATCATCATCACTACATTACCGTCCAATGCTACGCATCAAACCATTGTCAGCCACCTTGCGGATATCGTCACTCCACCTAGCTGGCCGGTGCCATACACTACGTTTGCCTAGACGCCAATCTCCACTCCACTCTAGAACAGGTCTACGCGTCTACCCCAACGGTCATTGGTATACGATAAATGTAACCAAGAAGGTCTACATTAGATTGGAAAAAAGACACTAAGTCAGAATCATAAATTAAGAGGAACTTACTTCTCACGCAGACATCTTCTTCTTCTCCCTGCTCGCAGTACAGACCGTCTCCACATCTGCCGACCGTGGTGCCTGTCCCTGGTCCTCCTCTGGAGCAATGCTCTCCTTTTCCTAGAAGTTGACACGAAATACACATAGTAGACCATCATTCATGTTGCGGAGAACCTAACGGGTAACCGGGGCACCGGCTCGACGTGCAGGAGAAGGAACGGGGTGGTTTTTAGTCAGTAAGAGTCTGACCACTCCCTCCCGCCTCACCCAGACGGGAGCAGACATTCGATGATATTCCTCCTTAAAAAAAGACAATCATTCATAATATTTATTCAGTTGTTCAAATTTTATATTTTCGTTTTACACTCTAAGATTAAGTCTTTCCTTTTTTGTACCTAGATAGCATTTAGTTTGCACCATCACTTTTGCAGAGCCGTCGTCCTTTTTTATATTTAATGGGCCGACGTAGTCTGTCCACAAAATTGTTGAGACAATTAAATGGACTAAATGCATTTGGAACTCTGTGTATGTGACCTTGTATGTTTGTAAAAGCATCCACGATTCAGGAGAATCCTAATGTGGAGCAAAGTTTTTTTTAAACAGCTCTTATTTACCAGACAAAATATAGAATAACTTACGTTTCTACTTCATGCTGGTATTCTCTGAGAGAGAGGTACTTTCCTGGCCCATTCAAGTTGCATATATCAGAGCTAGACCCATCAAGGCTTGACTTAACTGTTGATAGGTCGAAATTAAGAGCCTATCCCTATCCAAAATCTGTTAACATCTATGTTTGACATTAATTTTATGCAGTTTCTGTCAAAAACAGATAGCGATCAAGCGATTTTGGATTAAGATCATAACATCATGCCTTTTATCGCCGAAGGTGTAGGCAGAAGTGCATAATTCCGGCCTTAATCCCACTTTTCGTGTGGGTGAGTTGATTGCTATTGGATAAAGATCAATTACATAATTTCTATCGTTGGGCTTTACCTTGGGCAAAATGTTAAAAATATTGTCTTTATCTCATCACTATAAGACTTATAAGATCCCCTAAATCTTACCAACAAGTTTAAATATTCCAGGTCATACGTTACCATATAGCGGCATGCAATAATCGCAGCAGTTGCAAACAGTAGGAGAAAGGAGGTTGATACCCTGGTGGGTCGCATTGTTGACTGTGCAGTGTATCGGAGGTGTAGTGCAGCCGGTCTCGTGGAGGTACGTCTGAGGGATGAGATTGATGAGATGATTCTTTATCTGATTAATGAAGACAGGAGTTGTGCAGGTTCGACTGATCATGGAGCTGGTTTGTTCTTTGAACAGAGGATTTACATTGCTGACAGTAATTATAAGTATTTTACATAACATCACGTCGTTTTATCCTCGAAGGCGTATGCAGAGGTGTACATTACGGCACTTAATGCCACTGGACAATGTAACACCCACTTTTTACTATTTATAAGTCTCATGTAATAGGGGTGAGCCTATTGCCATATACCGGGCACAATTCCAGACTTTCGTGCTACCACCACTAGTACATTGCCGACCCGGGAATCGAACCCGAGACCCCTTGCCGGCAGTCCCATTTGCAACCAATCGGCCAAAGAGGCAGTATAAGTATTTTATTAAAACATAAACACTTGAAAATCAGCCAATTAAACGAACAAAGACACAATAGAAGGACCTTCTCACTATGTAAAGGTAAATTTTTGATGGATAGATTGTACTCGATTTTAAATAGTACTGAGATTATCACGTCAGATTAAAATATACATATACCTAAAAGAGTTACTAAAACTACTAAATTGAGAAAAGCCTTTTAAAAAGCCCACACAGCTGTCTATAGTAAATCAGCCATTAGCTTAGTTTTTTTGTTTTTTCAGATCATTGCTAAATTATCGTCACAAAAACAATACTTATGTATAAGTGGGTAACGAAGCTAATAATTGAGATCCTAAAATAGAGAAATATGCCTACAAGTCAGACATACAGCCATCTGCAAGCATTATTACAACCTCCTCGTATTCATTGGTTTGCTGATATTAGAATAAGTAAAAAAAAAAAAACTGCGCATAGACTAAGATCTGGACACATTCCTCTGAACAAGTTCGGTTTCCTAATGAGGAAAACAAGCAGTCCAAACTGTGATGCATGCGAAGTAACTGAAGATGTCCAACACTTGTTACTGGAATGTGTCCGATATAAAAGAGAGAGAGAAATATTAATTCAAGAATTGTACATTAATGTTGTAGAAATAGGTGCTTTTCATTCCATTTTGTCCAAGCCATTGTCACGGTGCTGTTAAGATCTATGAGATCGTATATAGTTTGGACAGATCCTAATATTTCTCGCTACTCCAATAATTCTCATGGTCACGATGAGTCTGGCATAATCCGCTTAGATTTAAAGACTCTTATTATATTTTAATAAAGAGAAAAAAAGCATTATTACAATAAAGAAATAACAAACACATAATTTCGTCACTATCGCTATGCCTAAACAATCACACCTAATTTGATAAGAAAAATCTTTAAATTAATATAATTTAAATACAAACTTACCCTACAGAATCCAACTTCACATAAAATAGTAGAATCGTTATAAACAAAACCGAATAAAGAAAACAAAAAACAAATGAACAATTTGAAGGAAGCCGCCATCTTGAGAATTGTTAAAGGCGCACTGATTTTGTGAGCGTCGACTAATGTTATCTATATCGATATTTATTAATATAATCTTATTGATAATAATCAAGGAGTCATCGGAAATGATGACTGAATTGATTAATTTGCCGTGGAATGTTATATTTCTGCGATAGTAGTACGCAAAAATGTAGAATCCTGTTGCAAAGAAAATTTGGCTATATCTCATTTTTATGGGACTCATAACATGACTGTTGACGAGTTGGTGTTACGCCTTTGGAAAAGCTGCATTATTGCGTTAGCATAGGGCATTTATTCAAGACTAGCTTCTGCCCGCGACTTCGTATGCGTAATCCCATTTTTTCCCGTCCCCGTTCGTGATTTTCGGTAAAAAGTAAAAAAAAAATTTGGTTAAAAAGTATCCTATGTCGGCCTCCTGGCTCTAAGCTACCTCCCTACCAATTTTCAGCCAAATATATTCTGCCATTCTTGAGTTATAAGTGGTGTAACTAACACGACTTTCTTTTATATATATAGATAAAACTAAGGGTTCATTCAATGCCTTTCCAATAAAAATATTTGATTGTACGATCTTGTTCTGACGCTTTGGCTTCTCTTAGGTCTCCTTTGTATGTGGGCACCAGTTGGGTAAAATATTAGGGATGTATTCCCAGAACCTAATGGCACGGAGCCTGGACTATATTCAATAGACTCACCCTTATTACATAGAACTTAAGTAGTTATAGGAGAGCCATGCTTCAGCACAAATGGGCCAGCTGGACCGGAGTGATACCATAGCCTCACAGAAAACCGAGGTAAAACAATACTTGCGTTATGTTTCGTCGTGTGAGTGAGGTTACTGGAGGCACAACTGCCCCTCCCCAATCTCCCCAAACCCCGAATCCTCAATAATCCTCAAATTGCTAATCCCCAAAAGCCCGGTAACGTACTTCTCTGATATTTCGGGTGTCCATGGGCGGCGCCGATTGCTTATCATCAGATGATCCGTATGCTCGTTTACCGGCTTATTCAATAAAAAAAAAACTTATCTAGCATAACTGGTGAAAATTGGTTGATAACTTGTTATATTGAAGCAGTAACTATTATGTTCACGTACATCGACATCAACAGCCTATAAGTGCCCACTATTGAACGAAGCCTTCACTCACACGGAGAAGGTCTGAGCATTGCTTCGCTTGCTCATTGCGAGTTGTCGATTTTAAAGTTGGTTAAACCATTTTTTTGGTTTTGTGGGGCTTAGACTATAAAATACTTACCTTTGAAATATAAATAAAATAAACAATTAATAATAAGTTGTAATTAGAAATTATAAGTCCAGGTCTCCTCACGATGTTTTCCTTCACCGTTTGTTAGTGGTGTCTAAATAATTTTAAAAAGTACATATAATTCAGAAAATGTCACATCGGTACATGCCGTTGGCGCCCATTGGTAGGTTTGAACCCGCACCCTATGCATGCGAAGCGGCTGTCTTAACCACGACACGTAGCCACAATACGTGTGCACGTACAACTAAGTCCATACCCTCGGAGATTAAAAATACAGCATGATGTTTGCATATATTCAAAATTTCTGAATTTCTGTGCGCATCTCTCGTACCGTTCTGCCTCGCACAGCAAAACTGTGAAATGATCTGTCGTCGGCGGTATTTCCGAACTGATACGACCTTCCAATCTTCAAGAAAAGAGCGTATTCCTATTTAAAAGGAATACGGTAACGCACTGTGACTCCTCTGGTGTTGCGGGTGTACATGGGCGGCGCTGATTGCTTACCATCAGGTGGCCTAAACAAGTAACATTGGGTGAAACATTTCTAATATGATTCATTTGATGGATTGTAGGAGAATCATCTAAATCAACTTTACATGGTAACAGGTGGTCCGTCTGCTCGTTTGCCTCCTATACCATAAAAAATGTCGCGGAGAACCTAACGGGTAACCGGGCCTCCGGCTCGACGTGCAGGAGTAGGAACGGGGTGGTTTTTAGTCAGTAAGAGTCTGACACTCCCTCCCGCCTCACCCAGGCGGGAGCAGTCATTCAAGGAATTTCCCCCCTTAAAAAAAAACATTAAAAATTGCTTATGGGTTGCCTATGGGACGACGTGCACCACCGTAGACCGCATCATCGCTCACCACCAGGCGAGATTGTGGTTAAACGTCGGCCCATTAAAATAAAAAAATACCTTTCCAAAGCAAGAATCACTTCATTCATAAGTTAAAATTGCATAGAAATATGAAAAACTTTACATTATTGTGAAGATTGAGGTAGAAAGTGGGGGTGAACTGGTGAAAACTAAGCCTCGAAGATAAATAGTCACATATAGTTACTAGTGAGCAAGAAGTTTCGGC